AATAAATTAAATCATCTTTTATTCTCATATTAAACATAATAAAACTTATTAATATATATTATAATGTGAAAATCATCATATCCTTTAAAAATTTTATGATTCATAATTTCACACCCCAAGAATTAAATTGCTCATTTTTTTTTTATGAATGTGGTTCACTATTCCACACCCAGGCAAGTGCTAGTTATGATATCATGACATGGAAAGCCAATCGGAAAGGTAGTTTCTGGGTTAAGACTGCATACTTTGTTCAAAGCCATGTGGAAGAGTGGAGAGGTATGCTGAGAGAATCGAAGTGTTTATGTGGTTTACGACAAATCAACGGAGAAGCAGACGGCAGTCCACAGTCCTCCATGTCGACACATCTTAAGGGATTGCGTCTATGCTCGGCAACATATGGCATCACTTGCTTAATCAATCCCAGGTATCATATATATGCTCAGTTCTATACGGCATCTTTGAATGATTGGTTTGACACTTGGTTCTGATTTGCACCAAACTGGAGTCTCTGATATGGGGTGTGACAATTTGGAAGCTTTGGAATTGGAGAAACAATTTCATCTTCAATCCAGACCTCATAAAACCCCCTGGTCATTTACTATGCTTGGTGATGGTTTAAGTGCTGATTATATATAATTCCTTTTTTAAATTAAAAAATAGGCAGGCTTATAGAACACTGAAAAATTGCTTCCTATCATCCTCCTATGCACGTCACAGGTTCGTTGTGGTAGGCAACAGTTTTAGTGGCTTTGTACATTATGGAAGAAGATATTTTAATTTTTTTACCAAAAAACTAGACAAAAGACTATTCCCTAACTTTTTTCCTCTGTTAAAAAATATAAAATATATTTAATCGAATCTCATTTTTTAATAAAGTAATTACTTACTTTTAAAATGATCACATTTTTTTTCATATTTACTCCTATTAAACATCCTACAATAAATATAAAGTTATTTATTAATAGAGGCACTTTTAAAAAAATAATTATTACATTTTCAAAAATTAAAAATATCTTATATTTTTAAATATTTAACTCCTTAAAAAATATTTTATTTTTTTGAATGGAGGGAAAATGTAACAGTTAGAGTGTAAATTACCCTTCTATTATTTGTCACTCTAAAAATGTTTTGGTGAGTCAAGTCCTAAGAGTTCTCAAGGCTAATATATAGTTTTGGATTCAAAGAATATTTATAAAAATACTTCCAATAATTTCATATCAATAGAGTGATATTTGATTCCACGTTAATATTTTGTGCACACGGACTATGGTATGAACTTTTGAGAGGCAAGCTTTTGGATCGAACCGTTAACCATCTCTAGAATTATAAATAAGTCTGTTTGATTCAAAATGTCTAAGCTTTTTTTAAAAAAAAAAACCATTTCTCAGAGCTTTTAGTTAGTAGCTGTGGGCCCAAAAATAAAACAAACAAAGTAGTAGATGGATGGTTCACGGTTTGTTTACTGGCCTTAAAGATTTGCAAATATTTCTCGTTATTTTATTTTTCTCAGCCAGCTCATTCCTTAAATTATCATCCGCTAAAATGTCTATTGTCAAGTTGCATTAAAAAAAAATCCTATGGGTAATTTTATTTTTAAAATTTTATAAATAGTTCATACACAAAAATTAAATGATCAAAATAACATGAAGAGCTAGGATGTTCATCTGAATGACGATATCCACATGATCTCTGGCTAGCTGGCTATTTTTTATAATTAAATGATTTTTGTTTTGTTAATGATACAATTGATTCAAAATTAAAGTAGGGATGGAAACTAAAGAGACGTTGAGATAAAAATTATTTGCTCAAAAAAAATTGATTATACCGAGATAGTAGTATAAAAAATCATTGATGATTTCATAGATTTTTATAAAATGACTTATAAATAGCATTCTAAAAAGCTTTTTTAACAACGATATAGATGACCCCATCTCTTTATAAGTATGTTGTTGGATTGGCAAAGGATGATCATGATACACAAACCCTCTCTTCAGACATATAAGATCTGTTTGTTTTTATTTTAAAAACAGAAATACTTTAAATTTCATTTGGATACTTATTTTTTTATTTAATTGTTCCTAAAAATTTTTATTTTTTTGTTTTTAAAAATAAAAAATGGAAATAACTTTGAGTTAATTTTTTTTATTTTTCTTGTCTTTAAAATATACTACATTTGATCATTGAAACTTATAGTTTCCTTGCATCAATTTTTATTATTAATTATCATCGTTAACTGTGTATAACCACCATTATCAATTTAATTTTTAATTTTAAAATTTTTTAATTGACATAGCCAAGCTAATTTTCATGTTATTTTGTTTTGAATAACAATTTTAAAAACTATATTACAAACTGTTTTTAAAAATAAAAAAATAAGAATAGAAATCAAACAGGCCCGTAATCTCCAAGCTGCTGGTTCATTGTTCCCAGCAACATGTACAATTGTACATTACAGATTTTTCATGCCTGAGAAAAATAAAATAACTTCATACGTCCATCTCAATTTTATATATTTAAATCAGAATCTGTGTAGAAAATATGATCTAAATTATCGAAGTTGAGAACTATGAATTTTCCATTTTTTTAATATTTTTCCTTATTTTATTATTTTTTATAAAATATAACAAAAATTTAAAGATAAACTTCACAGAAATTTATAGTTTCAGTTTTAGATGATCTAAATCTATAAAAAAAGGTAATTTATTTGAAGCCCAGCTACTGACTCGAAAGCCACACAATTAAATAACACTTGCCATTAATTAGATCCCAAGAACAATTAAAAAAAAATCCAATCCTATATTATTTGGAATAATTGTCTCATTGAATCAATTGCATGTTTATCTTCCTGACTTTACCATACACACCGACACCTTTGCAGCCCTTAGCCTTTCAATTGTTTCTGGGATGCCAGAAATGATTTTTTTTTTTTCACAAAAAAATAATGGGATTGTGAAGAGAGTGTTACTATGTGATACTCCCTTCATCTCAAATTATAAAATATTTTTAGATAAAATTATATATACTAATAAACCTCATTAAATATAATTAACAACTTTATCTCTCCAAAATAAAAATATAAACTTTCAAAAATACCCATAATTTAATGTATTGAAAATAGAAAGAATGAAAATTAATTATAGAGAGAGAAAGGATAATATTAAAATTAGTGCATTTAATGAAACATTAATCTATTCAAAATATTTTATATTTTAAAATAAAAAAATTCTTTTAAAAATATCTTATAATTTGAGACAGAAATAATATCTCATATATGAATGCTAGAATACAGATGGGGATGAGGCAGGTAATGAAATGGATGGGAAATGAAGCATTAAATAGCATGGAACAACCATATAGATTGATGGAGATTGGAGACCATCCACAGTCACAAGTTTCAACTTCCATGGTCCTATTAATTAGTATTCTTTAGGACCATCACTCTTGGCTCCTCTCTAACATAAGTAATCGCAACATTTAAATTAGGAAAATTTTAATCTAGTCCTAGGTTGTTTTTAATATAATAAAAATCGAGCACAATTTACAAAAATCATGGTATCTGAATTATCATTGTCAGCTTGGTGGAACAAGTCAATCAGTGCTGCTATTTGTTTGTCTGAATCCTCTCTCCTTATTCTTAGTGGCAGTACACTGTAGCAAACATTACACGAGGATATGTTTTAAAAAAGTATAGTAGGTCATCTAAAAACTGATTTTAATGTTTTTTTTTTTACCAAAGAACCGATTTTAATGATTTAGATGTAAAGATTTTAATATGTAAATTTTCATATAAAAAAATTACTTTTATCAGAGAAACCGTCATAAGACTATCTTCACTTAATTTTTTTATTTATAAAAATAATAATTTATTTAAAATATAAAATTATTAAATCTTAACCGTCGAAATGATATTTGTGGTCTATTGGATGGATGCTGGATAGAAAAGTAGGTGTGGCTTTACCTGCTCTTCTTCGCAATTTTCATTCTCATTGACAATGATACTTCACCGAATCCCGGCTCTCCCATTGTTTCCTCTCAATTTATACTCATTTTGAAAATTTAGTCAGAAATATGAGTGGCCACTGTCTTGCCACAATATACTATACGATAATAATTGTCAAAAAAAATGTATTGTTTTTGTCCCAAACTCAAAATGTATACAAATTGCATATGATTTGCATAGAATATTTTAGATAAATAATTGAAGCAAAGAATAAAAAACTCCAACGTGTGCAAATTTTATGATTTGCGAAAAAACCACACACGTTGAGAAATAGACTTTTAACTCTTGATTCAAAACTACTCACATAATTATGAACACAAGATGACTTGTTTTCTACAAAACCACCCACATTTGCCCCCAAAAAAAAAAAATCATGTTGAATGATTTGTCTAGAGGGAGTACGAAAAGGTTAATCCTTCACAATGTAATAAATTATTGTCCTATTTGGTAGTATATAAAAGAGTTACGTTATTTACGGAAATGTTCGAGAAAGAGGAATTGAAGTAAAAACAAAATTTTAATACATGTTTAGCAGGTAAAGAAAAGTAGGTATTTAAATAAAAGAAGTGAGGGAGGAAGTGGTGGGTTCATGGATATGAAGATGAAAGTGAGTTACACTGATCTTGATGATTTGGATTCTCTAGAAAAATGAAATCCATTGTAGCTAATAATAACCTATTTTTTCAAGTTCCATTTTCACTTTCTCCTAATTCCATGCTAACAAACAAGGCAAATTGCATTTCTGTTGAAAGGGTGGTCATATTCAACCGCACCATGAATTGATTACCTGGATACATTGTATGAAAGCCAAAGATAATCTTTTAACTCTATATATGGTAGAGTCTAGATGTAGGGCTGTTTTAAACAGGAACAGCTCTAACAAGTAACAGCTGCAGACTAAAGTCTTTGATCTTGTGGGCTGTGACCCCACCACCTACACCAAGATCTCACTGTTTTCATCTTCTCAACAAGTAGGTGGGGCTGCTCACCTTCCTTCTCCCTTTCTGATTCTCTAAACTGCCTCCTCCTTCACTACGTACTTTTTATCATATCACACACTCACTCACAACAAGCCCGTACCATGATTGCAATAAATTAATCTTCCATTTCACTACTTATTTCTTCATCTCCTTCACCTTCATGGAACGTCCTTCATAACCTTGTCCTTCTCTCTCTCCCCCTCCCCCCCCATGAACACGATAATGGCCAAATCCCCCCACGACTCTTCCTTCTCCTTCTCTAGAAGGTACTTCCATTTCACCAAGAAACTCGTCCAGGAAGATGACGACGACCACCTCGAAGAACAGGTCCTCACCGTCACTCCATTATCCTCCCACCATTTCTGCCACCAACAAGAACACTTCCCCAGCAAGATCAACAATCACTCTGTTTCCCGATTTAAGTCCGCACTCACTCTCTTCACCAGAAACCGTTCCTTCCACCAGCGCCGTCAGTCCTCTCTGGTCGGAACCAGAGTGGTCGGCACTCTTTTCGGCAACCGTCGAGGCCGAGTTCACATCGCCTTCCAGGAGGACCTCAAGTCGCTCCCACCATTCCTGATCGAGCTACCCACACCCACGAGCCTGCTGGTGAGAGAGATGGCTTCTGGGACAGTACGAATCGCGTTGGAATGCGACAAGGAGAAGAAGAAGAAGAAGAAGAACAGAAGTGGGAACCTGGTGGGGGAGCCGGTTTGGAGAAGCTACTGCAACGGAAGGAAATGTGGGCAAGCGAACCGGGTGGAATGTGGAGAAGAAGAGTGGAAGATACTGAAGGCGGTGGAGCCGATATCGATGGGCGCCGGGGTGATTCCGGCTACGTACGGTGGGTCCGGGGACGGCGAAGGAGAGGTGATGTACATGAGAGCGAGGTTCGAGAGGGTGGTTGGGTCGAAGGACTCGGAAGCATACTATCTGATGAACCCTGATGGAAGTGCAGGTCCTGAGTTAAGCGTTTATCTGCTCAGAGTTTAATTCGCTTTGCGAGATCCATTATTTGCCTCTAAATCTGATGTTAATGTTTGTTGCCTTCGATAATGGTGATTTTTAAACAAGTTATGTATTAATAGTGCATTAGAGTAATGTCGCATTGTTTAGCTACAAATATAACTTGTTTGAACGCATTATGATTTCGAATGCAGAACTAAGGAAACCCTTTTTCTTTGCAACAGAAAATACATATATTATGTGGTTAGTAAGTTTTGCCCAAAGTTAAGCTTCATAATGAATATAAGATAAAAGCTCTCTCTCTCTCTCTCTCTCTCTCACTACTTATGCAAACCACGCTAATAACATCGGTTTCAAGCTCATCAAACTACCCAACGTAAGATCTCTGCTACCTGAAATTAAATTTAATATTTTGGATTTAAAATTTAAAATTTTTAATTATTTTATATAAAAATTATTTTTTGGCCTTGTGACAATTATAAGATTATTTTTATTTAAATCATGTATCTGTTAAAATAATAATTTATTAGATATATAAACCTAAAATTATATCAAATATGTAGAATCTAATTTTGATTTGCACGGTTGATTAGTGCGAGCTGGTTCCTACTTCCCCAGTAATGCCTTGCAGTACAGAACGGGTCTGGATCATCAGCATTCATGGGGTGCATCCAAGTTCCAATAAAAACTTTATAACTTATCAATATTTTACACATTATTAATTGAAGAAAACAATCAGTAGCTTTCTGAAAAATAAAAATTAAAAAGGGTAGATTTGGATACCATGAGCTCCATAAATCCACTCAGTCAATAAGAATCTTCACGTGATACAATAGCAAATGTTTTATTTAATTGATCAGTTATTAGATATTCTACTATATAATATTAAAAAAGAATCAAAATTTCAAATTTTTAGACAGGATAAACATGCATAGGAAGTATTTTCATCGTGAAAATTGTTTTGAATTTTTAAAAAAATGCATATTGATACTTGTCGAGCTGTAACTGAGACATTTATAGCCTATATATTAATTAATTAAAGATACTTTTAATGTGAGAATGTGGCTAATAAAGAAGTGTAGGAGCAGACATAACCATAAAAGACCTAGAAATGTGAAATAAATGGGGAGCGATAGTGTTAGCTAGATATTACGACTATTGGAGCATTTCTCGGTACCGACCTTGATGCAGTGGGTGAACAACGTCTGATTCTCTTTTAACATTTTAAACTACTATTGCTCTTTTATTTTATCTATATATGTTAAATAAATCCTCATATACCAATATATATATATATATATATATACACTCACCCATGCATGTTTCAATTCTTTTTCTTGTTAAAGTTTTGTTCAAGAATGTTAAGATAGAAATTCATTAATTAATACAAGGTACTTCTCTAATTTTATTTATAAGATAAAAATAGTATTTATTTTGATTTTATTTATAGGATATCTCAATTATTTTTTAATTTATTTTTACATGTTTTCCCATATTAAATGATGAGAAAGTTGTTAAATGCTAAAATATTTTATTTGTAAAGTAGGTAAATTTAATAGAGGAAATGTTTTTTAAAAAATGATAATAAAATCTTTTCAAATTATTTAAATGACAATCTAGTTCCTTAAAATATCATAATTTTATTGAAGTCCTTAGAAAACTTTTTGTCAATAAATTTTAAATTGAAAAGAATATTTTACTATTATTGATAATTTGTGATTTCTTATTCAATTCTTGTAATTCTTTAAAAAAATACTGTAATTCTTCAATTAAAAGTTGTGAAAGAGATTTATTATTTTGAAAACTTGTTATTCAATAATAGAAATTACACTTGATAAATTAAGATTTCTTGTTCAATTCTTACAATTCACAAAATAAAAATTTATTATTCCTTAAGCAAAAGTTGTAATTGAGGCTTTTTTCAATAACAAAAATTACACTTAATAAGTTATAATTTTTTATTTAATTCTTGTAATTTATAGAAAAAAATTACAATTTCTTAAATAAAAATTGTGATTAGGGCTTGTTATTTTTAATAAAAATAAAATAATTTTTTTATTAAAAAAATTATTGATAAAGAGGTCCTTAGGGACTTCATTGAAGAAATTTTATTATTATTTTTTCAAGTATTAACTTAATTAATTTTTAGATAAATTTTTGGGTTGTTACATAGTTTTTGACCAATTCAAGAAAAAAATTAAGAAAAATCAGCCAATAGATAATTTTAAAAAAAAACAAAATGGCATAGTTTTGGGTTATTGTATTTGATAAAAAAACAGAAAGAAAAATTGGATTTCGTGGGCTTTCATCAATTCTCCATCAAGAATTGATTCATTTTCTATCAATGTTTTCAGAACTAAATTGGATGTTGAATTGAAAAGGTCAATGATTCACAATTCACATGATTCAATCAAATTAGACCAATAATTAAATCAATAATGTAATAATTAATTTAAAAAATTATATTTACATATAATAATTTAAATATAAAAAATAAATATGAAATTGTTACTTAATTTTAAAATAAACCCAAATATATTAAGTTTATTATAATTTAACAAGCCACATGATACAAACATTAAATAATTAAAAAATGGATCATTTTCTAAAAATAAAAAAGGATTATTTTTTGAGCTATTTGATTTTTAAGAATTAGATCCGATTCTCAATCCAAAATAATTTAATATAGCCCAACACTCTAAACAATTTTTTAATTCAAATTAAATCGTTAACGGCTTTAGTTGACAGTCTAACTGTCTAATTCGGCATTTTAATTATTGCTGTCTTCTTTTGAGCTAGTTTTCTAGGGTTTCAACTTATAGGTACTAAATAAAAAATTAAAGAAAATTATAAGTATCAATAAGAATATGTTTGGTTAGATGGAGGGGAGCCTCTCCACCCCAACTCCAAAACCTCCCTCCAAATTGGGAGGGAACCTCCCTTCTCCTCCCCTCCCTTTCCATTCCTTTCTCTCAAATCAAACATACTCTGAACGATTTTCTCAAGGATCAAGGCGTATGGCCGGTTCCAAGTATTGACTTTGCCAGTCTGGTGTGAATATAATGATTAATGAGAATGCAATTTTTAATGGATGTATGTCATGAATAGTGCAGCTTTTCATAAAGCATGTGGGAAGTCACATCATTTATGAATCATAAACATCGTCGCTCACATCAAACGCATGAGCATCACTCTGGAATGCAAGTTTTTTTTTTTTTTTACAGGGAATACAAGAGTATTATATTCTCAAACCTGCTCTACCTCTTTCTAGCAATGCCTTTTCTGACAGAGTTGGGCTGTCCATTAATGAGGCCCATTATGTTACAAGAAAATCAACAATTGGGCCAAGTGGCCCACTGTTTGGGTAAATGCACTTCATCTAATTTGGCTGGGCTACTACCCAATTGTTCGCCACTCTCAAGTCTTAACATTATTTGTTCTTTTTTTTTTTCAAAATTTTTTATTGAGCACTGGTATAATAAATTCGAGACAAGATCAGGTATTGAGTATGTCTTTCAGTGGAGTCTAGTCTATGGGCCTGTTTTTTTTTAAAAAAAACTGTTTTTTATTTTTAAAAATAAAAAAATTAAAAATTTATTTAGATAGGTGTTTTTCATTTAGCTATTTCCAAAATTATTTTCATTTTTTGTCTTTAAAAACAAAAAAAAAAAAAATTTCAAGTTATTTTCGTTTTATTTTTCTTATTTTTAAAACATACAACATTATATTCTTAAAAATTATAGTTATCTTAACTAATTTTTATTATTAATCACCACCATTAATTGTCTATAATCATCAGTATTAGTTTATTTTTTAATTGACATAACCAAACATTTTCATTTTATTTTGTTTTAAAAACAATTTTAAAAGCTATATTACAAAATAGTTCTTAAAAATAAAAAACAAGAATAGAAACTAAACAGGCCGTATATACCTGTTTTGAATCAAGGCTAAAGGCAACAAAAAAAAAAAAGCTTTTTTATGATTAAAAAATTCTTACTTTTATTATTCATCTTGCCATCCCATGTCCCAAAAAAAAAAAAAAAAAACTACGGCGGATACGAACTGAAATGCGTGGGTGATGTTCATGACAATGGTTGGTTTGGTTTTGTTTTCATTTTTTTACTTTTAAAAATTATTTTGTAACTCATTTTTTTTAAATTATTATCAAAAAAATAAAATAAAAAATTATTTGATTATGTTAATTTGAAAACGTTTTGAAAGTTTACACAAAAAGTTAATAGTGGTAGCCGCTAGTAGTTAATATAATGGCCTATGATAATAGTTAGCCAAAACTGAAGATGATACATAACAGTTGAACTAAATATAATGTGCTTTAAAAATAAAAAACAAAAATAAATGAGAAAAAATTTAAAAATATTTAAATCCAAAACACTCACTCAAACGAAATTTTTTATTTTTTAAAAAAAATAAAAACCAAGCAGGCCTTTAGTTATTATAATTTTAATTTAATTAAAATTTAATTTTAAATTTTGATTTACTACAACTCATTTTTTAATTTTAATTTGGTTGATAAATAATGGAATACGGGATAAGGTTTAATTAAAATAATTAAAGTTAATTTAAAATATTAAGGCTATCCATTGGAAACATTTGAATAATGACAAGGAGAATTACAATTAGATTCCAAAAATTTAAATTAATGACATTTAAGTTCTCGACAAATTAAAAATATCAATCTAAATAATTATAAATCAAAAGATTTTAATTGAAAATAAGTATTAAAGTATCAAATGCAACTCTTACATTGTAATAGAAATTTTTTTTATAATTGTTTGAATTGATATTAATTATTCATTGTGTAGAAAATTTTATTAAAAACCTACTCCTTCCGTTCGAAAATGTAAAGCATTTATAACTGAATTTTACCTCTCTATAAAATAGTTATCAATTTTTAAACTAACTCTATCTTTTTATATTTATCCTTATTAAACACTTACAATAAATATAAAGTCATTTATTAATAGGAGCAACTTTAAAAAAATATAATGATTATACCACAAAAGATTAAAAATGTCTTATATTTTTTAACATCTAACTCCTCAAAAAAAATTTTGCATTTTTAAACGGAGGGAGTAATTGTTATTAATTTAGAATTCTAAGACTTAACTATTATTCTCTTATAAGGATATCTATCTATTAGGATTAGAATTTA